AATTAGATTATTTGTTTATGTAGGGATTTGAATTAACTTCAGTACAAATTTCGTCACGAACCAGCATGGGCAAGAGGAATCACTGAAAACTAGGGAGCGTTGGACTCTTTGGGACTCTTCAGCAGTGTACTCTTACATTGTTTTTCTCTTATTCACAGGAATAATGACAATGAAGTTTTACAGTTAAATCATGTGGTGTATTTCTACTAGGGTTTCGAATTTCATTTGTGTGAACACGGATATTTCACAAACTGGAAGTTTTCATCATCAGGTTATTAATTCGTGACAAATTCTTTTTTATTACTTTTAAGTTGTGGTATATTACTATGGTAAGTAACTGAGCTTTATTGTATATCAAAACCAAATTGATCAATTTGTATAAATAAGTAGAGTTGATTGGTCATTGAGGAATAAAAAGTGACATGTGTCTAGTCCCATCGGGTTGGTGTAAGTCACTGATCATCCCGATGTACAAGAAGGGAGACAAGTCTTCCTGTGATAATCATATAGGGATTAGCTTGACTAATATAATATCTAAAGTCCTAGCCTCAATAATACTGAGTAGACTAAGTGGTGCTTGGGAGGCACAAACACGAGAAAACCAGGCAGGCTTTAGGCCAGGAAGAGGGTGCATTGATCATATCTTCAACCTTCGACAGATTCTAGAACATAGGCATTCCTACCGGCATCCAACAATCATTATACTTCTTGACCTAAAGGCGACATTCGATTCTGTTGACCGAGGGGTTCTCTGGCGATGCTTGGCTGTAAAGGGAGTGCTGAGAAAATACATCGCACTGATTAAGGCACACTACTCGTACTCATGCAGCCAGGTGAGGGCTTATGGCGATTTGTCATCTGAAGTGGTGACGACTAGTGGCGCCCGTCAAGGATGCCCATTATCCCCATTCCTATTCAACTTCATCATAGACGTATTAATGGACCTAACCCTAAACACTTCAGCGACTCAGGGATTGACTTGCTACCAGGGAATAATCTCGTTGACTTAGAATATGCAGATGATATAATCCTCCTAGGCGAGGACTCTGACGAAATAGAGCAGAGTCTTCTGAATACCTTGAGCAGCAATCTGCGAATGTTTGGCATGCGATTCGCTCCCGCCAAATGCAAGGTGATGTTACAGGATTGGGCTACACCGACTCCTAGATTAGAAATAGGAAGTGAAGTGGTAGAGCACCTTGACCGCTTCAATTACTTGGGAAGTACCATCAGCCAGTGCCAACGGGTTGATCTCAGACGAAATCTCAGTATGAATACAGAGGGCTAGTTTCGCATATTCCAGTTTACCCCGTCTCTGGCGTAGACGCGATATCCGACTATCGACCAAAGGGCGTGTGTACTACTCATCAGTCCGCTCCGTCCTCCTTTATGGCTGTGAGACCTAGCCATTGAGAGCGGAAGACATGAAAAGATTAGCTGTCTTCGATCATAGGTGTCTGCGTTCTATCTCCCGCGTGAAGTGGTATAATAAGGTGAGCAATATTGAGGTTGGGCGTCAAGTGTTAGGTAAGGAGGAGAAATCAGTCAACGAGACTGTGAAATTACATCGACTGAGATGGTTAGGACATGTGTTACGCATGCATGTCTAGTCATCGCCTTCCTCGACGGGCAATGTTAGCTGATATAGGGCCAGGCTGGAAAAGAGCTGGTGGTGGTCAAACGAAAACATGGCACCAGTCAATGAGATCCACAACAGTTAGTTTAAGCCTCGTAGAAGGGTGTAGACTTTCTGGTTGGGGTCCTCGGAAGGTTAAAAACCAATGATTGGAAACAATTGGTGACATGGCTCAAAATTGTTCTCAGTGGTGCAGATGCATTCAATCCTTGTGACTTTTGATTTCCAGTGAAACTGTTTTGTTCTTCGTCATGACTATTCCTCTGTTTACTGTTTCTTATGTGCATTTCTTCTACTTTCTTCTCTTGCTTTGTGTGCTACATGGAGTGTGGCGACTTGAACTGGTGCACATATGTGCAAAGTTCTGTGTCGAAAACAGACAGACAGACAGACAGACAGACAATCTCTATTGAAGGTATGAATAGCTTATTGGTAACGTCTTTAGCCATATCATCAAGTGATTCACGTTTGAATCTCCTAGGGGACATCACTCTCTGTGAATTTGCAGATACACTTTACTAATAAGTGGCAGTGAGCACAAAACCTAAGTCCACAGATTCCCACTGATGACCTCCAGTTATTCACTTCTTTTATCTAACCACTATCAAACCAGTACCAGAAAGGCACATAAACGTAAGCTCTCATACTACAGTTGTAAACCAGTTCAGGTTGGCAAAAACAGTAAAAAGGCAGAAAAATGGCATATTGTAGCAAAAATGTAGCATAAAGTGATATGCTGAAATGAGTTTAATCCTCAATAAAATATTAAAGTTAGTATTTTTATGGTATCTTTTCATTTTATTTGTTGTGAACCTGAATAAAGCAAGTCTTAAAGAAAACGGAGATAATATTATTCTCCAAAGTGAAATATTAATTCTTCTTTTGACTATGTTTATATTCTGATAACAATCTTTTTGTACCTTGGGAAGCAATTAAACACTTCTTGTTGGGTGTAATTACTAGAGAGCTTATAGATTTTTTGCCGAATCACTTCCGTTAATAAATAAAATCACTCACATCCTGAATAGAAAAACTAATGACCAGTATGCATTTTAATAGTAAGTGACGCATTAATATAAATGCCTGTACTTGAGTGTATTGAGTCGAAGTTTACTTCTTTTCAGCTCTATTAGTAATTCTACTGAAGAAGCTGTGACTTACACATTAAAAAGGTTCAGTTCAATTTTCTAAACACACACTCTGAGATCATTTTTAATGATTTCATAGTTTTTTCTTTATTGGTTGCATGATTTTATTTGAATTATATTCAGATTAAGTTCCTGATTTTTTTTTTCCTTCACTTTCCCCAGGGGAACATAGGGCTTCAAGCTAGATGCTTGAAGTTTCTGTAGCAGTGGTGATTATTTTTGCAGGATGGGGTTGCTAGCCTCATGCCCAACCTTCCCTCTTTACCAGCTTTATTTCTGGCTTAGAGAGGTAAACGTGTGCGTCGGCCGGGGATCGAACTCCGGACCATGTGCATGGCCGGCGAGCATCCTAACAGCTGTGCCACCGACGCATAAGTTCCTGAGTAAAGCTACCCAATTCGATTAGACTATCTAAATTTATTTGAAGATAAATCTAAGTATAACTCCATACTGACATATTTCGTTAGATATGGAATAATTTATACTCCAAGACAAGAAAACACTGGTGATAATGAGTGAACAATGCGATGTTTCTGTTACAACGAAAATACTGAGAAAGTCGATCTGTGACAATACAATAAATATTGGGCCATATAATCAAAAGCCTCTAAACACTGGTTTTTTGAGTCACCACCCAGATCTCAGCAAGACAGTCTAATATTCATTATATGGTTGAAGTCGACAGCTAGTGATTTGATGAACTGCCACCAATTTTTGCTTCACTTATCTTCTTTTCTACCTAGCCTAATTCACCTTTCTCTAACGGTGTGATTCGGTAAACACTGGGTAACCGTATCTTATATATATATATGTATATATATACATTATATATACATAAACTGTATTAACGGTCGTCAGTTGTTTGAGCTATTACTTAACTTCTACGTTTCACTGGTGTTTTTCGCATCTGCTCTGTTTGAAGCAGTGCCATACTGCGCAAATAACTTAGCTAATTGATTCAAACTGTATGCATGACGACAACGCGGGAAACTGGAAGTAATATATTGATGAGACATCTAAACTTAGGAATATTGTTCAGAGCTTTCATCCTATCACACTATTTATACCAGGTAAATGATTTCATGGGTTGACCTCAAGTTTAAGTAGTACACTCCTATGAATAACTGATTTAGCAATATCGGCTTTAGTTGTCACTTTACTACCACAACATCAAGTACTCAAAATAATTGTAATAAAGCCTCAATAACCATTAATCCATTAATTCAGTGTAGGTTTTGATCAGGTCAGAGCAACTTTATCAAGTTTGATCACGGACTGACTTTAATCAAAGAACCACTGAAAACTTGGGAATACTGATTTCATCCTAGCTTGGAAATCTTCCACAGCACGCATCTACGACCACACGGTGGGTCGAGGCGAGCTCGCCAACCATCCAGCCACTGAGACGGAACAGAATGGTCAATCCATGAACTCTAATTTCTGCCAGTACCACAGTCAGCCAGTATCATCAGCGAGTATTTGTGCTCACACCTGACCTGATGGCCCCCATTGGTGGCGACTTCACAGTAGAACTACAGACAAATTCGTCCTGTGATCAGTCACTAGTGGATGTCGGACTGATTTCCAAGTTCTAGTTTGTAGGGGTTTGATTAGTTACAAGTTTAATCATGGGTTGATATTAATTAATTGGAGAATGGCCAGAAAGAATTAGCAACAAGAAACTCTGCAGTACAATGAATCAGCCAAGAGCTAACTGCTCAACAAATATGTAGAAGAAAATGGAGATGGGTCGGGCACACGTTGTGGAGGCCATCGAATGACATCGCTTGCATTGGTGGTCATCACTCGAATGGAATCCCAATGGGATGTGACGAGTGGGCCGTTGGTGCGAGGGTGACATGGAGGAGATCGTGTGAGTTGGAGGAGGAGACAGGCGATTATGGTCAATCGTGGGGTAAGCTGAAGAGGAGTGGAGAGAATAGAAGAAAGTGGAGATGTGTTGTTGAAGCCCTATGTTCCAATCGAACCCAAGGGAATAATAATAATAATACTTGGAGAACCTTTGAAAAGCAGAGATAGTCCCAAATAAAGACAAAACAGATGTCCTATACTCCCTGGTTTTCATTCGTTCTCTTACTTATATCGATCCGTAATGGAACTTGAAACTAATTGAATCCCTACAAACTAACACTTGATGATTTTACCAACTTATAAGCGATGAATAAACACTTTTACGAAAACAAAATTCAGCTAACCTTTTGTAAGTAATCATTTCTTTCATCATCATAATCATCATCATTGTTACTTGTATATTCATTATTTATGTCATTGTCTTTAATACTTGATAATTTTACCAAATTTTCATCTTCACTCAAAGATAATTCATTCATATTTTGTTGTTGTAAATAATTATGTGTTGTAGAAAGATTATTAAAATGATTTATTATATGATTATAATTTAATAATGTAGTATTATTATGTTGACAGATATCTGTAAGAGGATAGATTGGAAATTCTTTTGAACAACTTGTATTACGCTCTGTTTTCGATGAACATGATGACATATCATATAGGTATAAATTATCTTGTTGTGAAACTGTTCTACGTATATTAGACGGGTTAATATCAACTTGTCCGACATATTTATATACTCTACATGGACAAACCTAAATTTTGAAAAACAAAAAATAAAGAAACAATAGAAATTGAACAAAGCAGAATAAACACTGATAAAAAATCTATTGAGTAAAATGGGAACTGGATGGCTGTTTCATCCTAGTTTGGGACTCTTCATCAGTACGCACCCACCGGGATTCGAGCCTAGGGCATTCTGGTTACAAGGCGAGCTCGTAGACGATTGAACCACTGGGACCCAATCCAATGGTCCTTGGATTCTAACTTCTGTCAATTCACGACATAGCGCGACCATTTCGCAATGTCTTCTTCGATGAGTTACTGTCCCAAACTTAGACGAAACAGCTGTCCAGTACTCCCTGTAGGTTTCCCAGTGGTTCTCTAAATGATGTCAGCTCATGATGAAATCCTCCATGCAATCAAACAAAATCCCTACAAAACCAATACTTGAATAGTGGGAACTCTTCACACTAAACCTTAGTTGGAAACTATATTCCTTTTCTCAGGGTAACGATATCAGTTAGAGAATTAATAAAACTGCGGAGCACTGGATGGTTATTTTGTCTTAGTTTGGAATTCTTCAGCAGTGCTCACCCATGCATCATTTACCAGGGATCGAACTCAGGACCTTCAGATCACTAGTGAATTTCAACTTCTATGGAAGAATACTAAAAACTGGGACAAAATTGTTGTTGAGTTCTCCATAGTTTTCAATGATTCTTCAACTAATGTTAGTTTGCGATGACATTCACGCTGAAATAAATCGAAAACGTCACTAAATTAGAAATTTGTATATTTTTTCATTCCTTTCTAAAAGAGAAGCTAATAGTCTCAGAAAAACAAATTATTCGTAACAACTGAGGAGTAATAAACTGTCACGAAAGCTGATTTTTTTAATAGTTTAACTGAATACAGTTAGGAAAACGTTAAAATAAATTAAAGAAATTAACGATTAATTACCAATAAGATAAATTAGAGTTCAATTAAATTCATGTGATGGATTTTACCATTCTGCTTGACTTCACCTATACTGACAGTTTATTATAATTTTTTGGTTGATATCATTATTTATTTAAAAATAATCAATCCCTCTATTCTCATGCCATCCTTAAATATCCTTCATCTTTCTGCCAATTTAAATTATCCACGAATCATTACTGATACCCGTGGTACAAGTGGTGGAGTTTGTGGCTGTGAATAAAGCTATGGCGTTTGACAACCTTTGGGAACAGCATCACTTACTGGCGATACAGGTATGTCTATCTGACAAGTCCAAAATAAGGTGAAACATATGTCCATTATTCTACTGCTAACCATCAACCACGTATTATATATATATCCTTTACTGCTTTGCTATTATATCACCTTCATATCATACAGTCTACCTGCAGTACCTTTCATATCTTTTCTGTCTTGTTCTATATTGAATTCCTCACCACTTTGAACCATAATCGTAACTTATCAGAATAATTTTGAAGTTCACTTGTTAGATTTCGCTACCATCCAATATTGGTTAGAGGGGTCATTGAAAGCCATAGAGCACTCTGAACATCTATTTTGTCCCAGAATGAGACTCTTCAGAAGTGCGAATCCAAGATGCTACTACGGCAGAACTTGGGTCCTAGAGGTTACGACATCAAGTTTGATAACCATTTAGTCACTTGGGCAGAAATTCAGTGGTCAGTGAATTCTAACTTTGTCAATTCGTCACACAGAATTACCCTCACCAATGCCTGCGATGAGGCTCCACTTCACCTTTACATGGTTGATGAAGTTAGAATTTGATAGGTCATTGAATTCAGCCCTAAGCGGTTGAATGGTCAACAAACTTGGTGTCGTAACCTGAAGTTCCCAAATCCAACCCGAATTGCTGTCATGGGTGTGCGCATATGAAGAGGTCAAACTAGTACGAAACATATATCCAGAGTTCTCTGGCTTTCAAAAATCTGTCTAAGTGATGTTGGTTCTTGATGCAATCTGACAAGTGAACTTAAATTAATCCAAACCCCATGATCTAAATATCAATTTATTTTGTTTTTTCTGAAGCGAATTTAAAGTACGTCTTGTTATCTCCATAACAATTTGTACATTTATCTGTAATAATTAATCAAGTCATTGTCTATATCATTTTGGTCCATTCCACATATTGTCGTATGGACAAAACATACTTATTTGTTGTTGATTTTATCACTGAACTTGATCCCTTTTCTTCTCATTTAATGGTAACATCTTAAACTATTAATTATTATTATTATTGTTCCCTTTGGTTCCTAGTGGAATATAGGGCTTCAACTACACGTCTCTACTTGCTTCTGTCTTCTGCTATACTTTTGACCTGCGTCCATGTTAATCCATACTGTTTCATCTCCTCCTCACACGATCTCCTCCATGTCACCCTTTGACGTCCCACTCGCCGCTTCCCTTTCGGGTTACACTCGAGCACTGGCCTGATGCGCGATGTCAGCCAGCGGCCTCCTCAGCGAGTGTCCAATCCACCTCCATTTTCTCCTGCATATTAGTTGTTTGGCGATTGGTTTTTGTTTTGTTTGTTCCCATAGTTTCTTGTTCGTTCTTGTTCTTTCCGGCCATCTGATCTTCAGTATAGAACGAAGACAGTTGTTGATAAAGGTCTGCAACAGGCTGTTGGAAATATTCTTGGTGACTCGCCAAGTTTCTGATCCGTAAAGCAAAATTGACTTGACGTTTGTATTGAAAATCCGAATTTTGTTGTTGATGCTGAGTTTAGTGACGAAGATTTCCAGATTGGTTTCAGGTTGATGAATGTGTTTCTCGCCTTCCCGATTCTCGCTCGATTTGACATCGTCGTGCGTTCCCCCTGTGGTTGAGACAATGCTCCTTAGATAAGTGAATGAAGTAATCTCTTTCAAATCCCTCTCGTTGATGGTGATTGGCGCTGGATGTTGCTGCTGTTGTTGGTTGGTTGGTTTGTTATTTTCATAACCTCTCTCTTGTCTATGTTCACCTGGAGTCCTGTCTTCTCTGGCTGCTTCTTCGACCAGTTTGTTGGTTTTCGCTTGTAAGTCTTCGATTTTGTGTGACATCAAACATAAATCATCCACGCACGAAATCCAGGTCTTCTAGGTTCTTCACGTCGGTCCAGGATATTCCTGTCTTCTCGTTTCCCACTGTCTGATGCGTAATCCAGTCCACCACAATTAGGAATATCATTGGTGATAATAAGCACCGTTGTCTGACTCCTGTGTTTATTCCAAACGCCTCGCTGAGTCTTCCGTTGTGGATCACTTGACATGTGCCGTTGTCGTACAGCTGTTGAATAAGTTTGATGAATATTTGGGGTACGCCGTAGTACTCGAGTAGTTTCCAAATTACTTCTCGGTTAGACTATTAAACTGTACGCAAAGTTTAGCACTTTTCTATAAGATTTAGAGCACACGAAATAAAATGAATTCAATCGAACCTTAAATTTATGTGATAAACAAATTTTATGGAACTCTATCATTTTCTTAGTTGTTAAACAATTGTATTATATAGGAAAGATTGCAAGTTTGGTGTAGAACTTTGAACATACTTGTGGAATTTGAAGTTAACACACCTCACCCCCAGCATAAAGTAAGGACGAGAACAAATGTTTGGTTAAAAAAATATTACGACAAACCAAAAGATACACGAAAAGGTACTTAACTGAAAAAGAAAAGCTTCATAAAAAGTTCCGAAATTTTTCCAGTATTAATTTGAATCATGTCATGTATTTGTGCAACACACTACACCACCCAGATAAATTACATCTCCTAGTCGTTTTCTTAAAATTCATCAAGGGAACTAATTGTTTTAAAAATGTGAATGTTTAAATAGTTTTAATAATTGTGTTTAGTTCTCAGTTGTTGTTTTTTTCTACTGAAAGTTTTATGTAGGATATTTTGAGGACATTAGTGAATCATTTAAAGGCTCTTTAAATTTAATAGTCGAATGAGAATAAACCTTATCCTGACCAGGCTAACTTAGAATTATTTCTCAATCCGGCCTTGATTAATTTGAAGTGATATCTTCAAATGGACATGTGTTACACATGTTCCAATAATCCCTGGTTATACTATTCATAAAATGTCCTCGTCATCCAATTAGACTGAACTTTTTGCTAAGACTCAAGACATTTCGCTACTACATAAATCTCAACCTTGCTCCAGGTAACTCAGAGAAAATGATCTGCATATTCGCAAAGTTGTCAATGTAGTTTTTTTCCCTGAGCTGGGTGATGTACTTGTGTAGCTCACATCGTCTTTCTGGATAACGTATTTAGCATAAACTTCGAAATGAGGTGAGCTTATTTGAATTTTCCGTTCACGAAAGTTGCATATTAATAGTATATTTTTTCCAGTAGCTTATGATAGAAATACTAGAAAGCAACTGTATCCAGTTTCGTATACAAAGACCTCGAAAATAAAATTATTTATGTAACAAAATGTATATATATATATACGTAAAGTTGTATGTTTATGAATCAATCACCCTTATACGGCTTTCCTACGCGGAGGGCGATCAATAAAATTTCTATATTCAAGTGTTGGTTTGTAGGGATTTGATTGGTTACAGGATTTTCATCATGAGCTGACATTAGTTAGAGAACCATTGGAAAACCTGGGAGTACTGGACAGCTGTTTCTGTGGTCTTTGTTTGGGACTCTTCATCAGAACGCACCCACCGGGATTCGAACCCAGGACCTTCTGGTTACAAGGCGAGCTCGTATACCATTAAGCCATTGGGACCCGTTCCAATGGCCCATGAATTCTAACTTCGCCCAATTCATAATATAGCGCAACCGCTAGCCAATTTTTTCAGTGAGTATTTGTCCTCACACCCGACCTGCTGCACCCTACTGGTCACGACTTCTCACTAGAAATTTATAAATATATATTTGTATATTTATATATATATATATATTCTGGGCAGAAAATAGACTTAGAAAAGATGTCGTTTACCAATGATACTGTAAAATTCAGTTGATTAGTCAAGTGAAATAAGCCAGAAAAGTGTGTGGACTCTAGTTTTCTGA